ACATATTGGACAAAACAAATGTATGATAGAAATTGAATTAAGCTTATCTTGTAAAGCTTACCCAGTTGAAAAGAAAATTTGTTAAATGCCTTATCTTTATGATTATAAAGGTTTCTTTTGTAAGCTTTGCATGACTTTCAGGGTTTCTTTTTTTTATTTCAGGTATTTTGTGATGGTTTCCATGGTGATATGTCAGAAATTTATTTGATTGGTAATGTAGATGAGAACGGGAGAAAACTGGTTCATGCTACAGAATTGGAAAGAGATGCAGCAATATATGTATGCAAACCTTGGGTGGAATACTGTCAAATTGGTAAAACAATTAGGTAAGTGTAAAACAAAATTGGCTCTTTGTCGTCTTTTTTTGCCATTGTTTATGTCGGTCTCTCTTTGACTTATGAGTTTTAATTCTCCCTTTGATATTTTCCCTTTTTTATACTTTTTTTCTCTTTTTAAACTTTTATCTTGTGTGCTGGTGGTGATACCACAGGTTTTTGTACATAGCCTCATCACTATCCAGATTTTTACAATGCCTCATCACAACAGCACGTGGTAACTAGGACCCATTGTCCTAGACATAATTGTAGAGGATCGTAGCAAGGGCCGTTGATATGAAGTGTTTCAGCCTATTGGCATTTGGACATACCCTAGCCCTCACACTAGTGAATGATTTTTTGTTTAAAACGGTCATTCTGACCTTAACATCATCTGAAAAGTCTGAACAATAAATTATTAAGTCATGTTCAGTCTTTCAGTCAATTTTCAGACTCATCCAATGTGGTAAATTCAGTACTGTTCAGACAATTTGCTTGCAGTCAATTCAGAACTGTTTAGTAGCTTTTCAGACAATTCAGTATGATATTGAAAAAACAGGAAAATAACAGCTACTGAACAGTCTGAACTTAGACTAAACGACTGAAAATTACTTAATAGTTTATTGTTTAATCTTTTAAACATTGTTCAGATCAAAATGACTGTAACAGATCATAGTTTGTGTACAACCTTGCCCCAGGTATTGGTTTATACCAAACTAGAAGAAGGTTGTCAGATTGGGAGGTAATTCATTTGAGAGAAGAAAACTCTGATATAAAATCAAGGTAGACGAAGTTACAGAAACGTGAAACTGGAAGTTCACGCCCTATGCCACACATGTCACTGACAGGAGTTGTAAGTTGTAAAATTTTATCTTTCTGAAAGTTGTAATTACACATAGTAAAATTGAGAATTGAAATGGGGAATATGTCAAAGAGACAACAACCCGACCAAAGAACAGACAACAGCCGAAGGCCACCAATGGGTCTTCAATGCAGCGAGAAAATCCCGCACCCGGAGGTGGTCCTCAGCTGGCCCCTAAATAAAATTGTGTGCTAGTTCAGTGAAAATGGACGTCACACTAAACTCCAAAACATATAAATGAACTAAAATTAAAAAAACATACAAGCCTAACAAAGGCCAGAGGCTCCTGACTTGGGACAGGCGCAAAAAAGCGGCGGGGTTAAACATGTTTTGTGAGATCTCAACCCTCCCCTATACCTCTAGTCAATGTAGAAAAAAGAAACACATAGCAATACGCACAGTAAAACTCAGTTTAAAAGAAGTCCGAGTCCGATGCCAGAATAGGTAACAAAAGAAACTAAGCAAAATGACAATGATACATAAAAGAACAAAGGACTACTAGCAGTTACTGACATGCCAGCTCCAAACCTCAATTAAACTGATTGAGAGATTATGTCTTCATCATATGAAAATCAAGTACAATGCCTCCCGTAAGGGGTTTAGTACTGTATCATACCATCATAAAATATATGAGAAGAACATAACCCGTATCATGCCAACAACTGGTTTTAGAATAAATGTGTTTATTTCCGATGCAAAGACCCTATGAGTGAATCAATATTAATACCAAAATATGCAATCCTTAATGACTTGACAACAGTATCGTAACTATATCCTTTCCGAATAAGTCTGTTTAAAGGTTTGGTTAGCTTTTGAAGTGAATGCCGACATTTTTGTGCTTTGTAAAGAATATTACCATAAAATATTGGATGTGAAATACCTGAACGTATAAGATGTCTGCATGTTGATTTATATTTACGAATGATGTCCTTGTACCGATGATAAAATTTGATAAATGTTTTGACTAGTTTGTGATATCGAAAACCCTGGTGTAATAATTTTTCAGTAATACAGAGATTTCTTTCGTTGATTGTTTTAAATTGTTGAATTAAAGAACCATCTACTGAAAAAGAAGCAACATGGTTACATCGCAAAAAGAAATGATTGTATAGAAAAACAATGTCACAACTTTAAAAACAGTGAACAGTGTAGTGTATTATATGAATTGAACAAGTTATATACTTATTTATATAAATTTTTCCATTTATTAATTGTTAGCTCTGTAGCAGAAACTCATGGATTTACAGTAGTTCAAGCATTTATTGGACATGGGATAGAAGATTTTAATTGTCCACCAGATATATTTCACTTTGGTATGTTGCTTTAGTTTCAATAATTTAGTTCAGTCGCTTCTGTTTTTATCTCAGTTTGTTATCTTATTCTTTTGTCATTTTGTCCCACCTTTATATAATCATTCAAAATACAACACTTATCCTCACAGTAGTACGGAAGTTCTGTATGTCTGTTTATTTGGAGGAGTGGGGATGTTGGTTGTTGAGTGGTTTATTGTATTCTGCGGTATTTTTGGTAATTTCTGTTATCCCTTCAATGTACTATTTAAAACTTAATATGTCTCTTGTCAGCTTTGAGTTAGAATAGTGTACTTAAACTATCATGTTTAAATGCTGTCATCCTGAATATACATGAAGTGTTTGCCATTAAATCATGTTAAGCATATTTACCGGATTTGTAATAACATAACAACACGACGGGTGCCACATGTGGAGCAGGATCTGCTTACCCTTCCGGAGCACCTGAGATCACCCCCAGTTTTTGGTGGGGTTCGTGTTGCTTAGTCTTTAGATTTCTATGTTGTGTCATCTGTACTATTATTTGTCTGTTTGTCTTTTTATTTTTGGCCATGGCGTTGTCAGTTTGTTTTCGATCTATGAGTTTTACTGTCCCTCTGGTATCTTTCGTCCCTCTTTTTTAAGCAGAAAGCAGATGTTGACCTGACTTTTGGTGTAAACAATAGTTGTTAAAATGAGCAGTCTTTGGGACTTGGTACATGTGTCGTGTGACACATCTAGTTAAAAATTGATTTAACATGTGACAATGTTGTTGACATATTACATGTAGGAGAGTTTGAAATAGATACATTGCTCTCAAAACCATTGCAATGGAGATAACATTATGTTTTCTCACATTTTCATGTGATTACTGTAATATGATTGCAAGTTTGGTATGATGCATGTTTATAGAATTGCTAATTTTGTAATATTATATTTCCAGTAACACAAGTTGTCAAGTCAAAATGTAGTATAGCCACCAAACTGAGAAAAAGAAAACTTTACTGTGTTTAATATTGTATATTTCAGCACATGAATCGCCAGAAGTAATGACAGAAGGAGTAACATTCACAATAGGTATATATTTCTTATTTTAGAAGATTATATGGGTATTTTTTTGTTATGGAACAAACTCATACGTTATGGTTAACATGTTAGCAGCTTGCTGTGTAATGTTTTTAGCATCTTTTTTTCAGAACCTATATTAAAGGGAATTTTGCTTTTGTGATAATATTGTTTTATCTGTTTCAAAACTATTGTGATAGAGTGGGTGCTTGTCGGTGCTTGATTAAAGTGTATTGATACCAAAACATCCTTTAAATCAACTCACTGTTCACATTTTCAAAGGTTACTGTATGGAAGGAGACTTTGGAAGGTCTGTTGAAATTTCGAATAAAACCGTTTTAAATTCCAGTCTAATTATTAATTTCGTAACTTTTTTTAGGACTGTATATGAGACTTAATTCTGAGTAGCAAATCCAGACTTTCTAAAAGAGGACATAGGAGATCACAGGAATTTATTGGAATTTTTGTCCCTAAAAAAAGCTTACCTAACACCTTTACTCCAAAATCCTTGTGAAAAAATGATGTTATTGGTTTTACAGACCTTCCACTTTATTCTTTTAGAACACCTCCGTGTTGAAGGCCGTACTTTGACCTTGATGGTTTACTTTTACAAATTGTGGCTTGGATTGAGAGTTCGTCTCATTGGCACTCATACCACATCTCCTTATATCTATAGGTTGATAATTTTTATTAAGAATGAATATTCTGACATTGAGCATGAACATCTGGCAATCTGTTATTGAATTGTGATTGTTTACTCTTTTTTAGAGACTATCTTATCATGAAGTATATTTATTAGTTCAAAGAGATACTGTCTGATGGTTTACAACTAAATTACATTCTTTGTTCTCATATTTTCATGTGAAAACCTTGTTTTTCAATTGCTGATATGCATAAAGTGAACAGCAGGCTGATATTTGCTTCCTATGTTATCTCAGTGGAAGAGCCATGTCAGCCCTTATGTGCAAAATCTGTTTCAGCTGGATTTAGAATACCATGTACAAGTTTAGTGAGACTTGCTCAATCTGAAAATGACCCTGTCATAATAAAACTGTATGAGCAGCACAGTGTACAAGCAAAATAATTTAATCTATTGTTTTATAAAATGACATAGGATATGTTACATCATTGCTAGAAAAAATACATCTTAGTTGAAAGTTAGAGAAGACAAAACATGGTTACAGGAATATTTGGGGGATCATTGGAATATTAAACAACGTGAAAACAAAATCAACCGAAACAAACTAAAAAAAACACAAATTATAGGAATGGACCCACTTTATTCAGTTATATTACTTTAATTTTTATTTCCATTCTAATATAGTGGAAAGCTGTCAGTCTGATAGGGAGTCTCACAATGAATAAGGGCCCAAATTGAAATGTCAGAATTGTTATTATCTGATGTTAATACATAACAGGTGTGTGTTAATTTTGTTATTGTATCCTTTTCAGAGCCTATTCTATCAGAAGGTAATGATGAAGTAGAGATATTATCAGATAGTTGGACAGCTGTGATGTGTGATGGGAGTAGGACTGCTCAGTTTGAACATACAGTATTAGTAACAAATGATGGAGTAGAAATACTTACCAAGTAGAAAACTAGAAAATTTATGACACGTGGCTTTCAATAGATATGAATAAAAGATTTTTCAATATGCTAATTTTAAATGTTTGCAAGGATAATTACCTTTGCGCCAAATTTTGATTGCAGTTATGAAATAGAGGGTGAATATTAGACCTTTGATGTTACATGGGTAGTAAACACTTTGGTTTCAGCAACTTGTCTTTTGTCACTGAATGCAATGAAAAATCATAGAAGTAGAGGCATTAAGACTCTTATTTGGCCCGAACTATAGTAGAAATATAGAAGGCAGCATACAAGATCACAAACCTTTTAACATATCATGAAGATATATGGTATTCATAATATCAGGAAAGCTTTTACATTCAAAGAGTTACGACGGCAGCATGGAGTAATGGAACATTTTGAACATCTGCTAAATTTTTGTCTTGCCTTAATGAAGTTGCTGAGTAGATACTTAGGCATGCTGTTTTTGGTGATAGCGTCATCATCAATTTGTTTAAGTTTGTGATTAGGTCTGTTGAAGGGAAACCACTAATGCTAAGTCAATGATATTTGGAATGCAGTTGAATTAGCATTGGTAAATCTTGCTTCAATGGAGATTATTTTACCCTGCCCACTCAGTCATGGTTTATTGACTTTATAAAACTTTTGCTTAGTTTAAATGTTAAAGTTTGTCATTAGGTCAGATTAAGGGAAACCACTTATGATAGGTCAATGATATTTGGAAGGCAGTTGTATGAGCATGAGTTTAAATCTCAGTTCCAGGGAGATTATTTGGCCCTACACCTCTGCTTATGATAGATTTTAAATGTTTTCCATATATTTTATATTTTGAAAAATGGCTATTTTTTTTTATCAAAATTACCTAAAGGTGAAACAAATCTCTGTGTTGACAAGTTTATTGTTGATATTCATTAAAATTTACACAGATTTTTTAAAATCAAAAACAGTATACACTAGAAACAACTTCAGATTCTGTAAAATTGTAATTACGGTGTTTCATTTTCTCTTAAATGGTTATTTTTTTAGTGTGTTCTATGTTTACACCAAGCAATTATTAAAAAAAATAAAAACACAGTCACAATAAGTTTTCTACTTCTTTTTTTTGGCAAAACACCAGTATATGATCATTAAAAACATTAAAAGTTATGCCTTACTTATTTATTACCTTTTATACTGATCTATGTTCAGCTTCTGTCCATATTTGAAGTTATTTACAAACCTTCATACTTTTGCGCTAAAACAGACCCGAATATCCCATCATAAACATACTTTAGTGGTCTCCATATAGATGGATAGATATATTCATGTTTAATGTCCAGTTGTGAAATTACATTTATATTAGGACAAAATCATGTTAATGTTATATGAATTTGAACTCTGCGTTTTACAAGATAGACACACAAGAGACAATACAATATATGTCTCTGGACCCACTTCACAAGATTTTTAACCTGTCAGTTCACAAGGTAACTGTCTGCATGAAGACCTGTCACCATATTCAGACACAGACTTCGAAATCTGAGTAGACCTGTCATTAGTGTTACTCCTAAATGCCAAGTATTCAGCAAAGAAATAGCAAAAACCAATTGTCAAGAATGGTTGGACCCAAGTGGGATCGAATCCACCATCTTTTGCACCAAAGATGAGCACGCTGTACCCAACAGCTCAAAAATAAAATGAAAATACAATGTGACAAATAAAATGTTTATGCTAATTTGATGCTAACATTAGCGCCATTAAAACTGTGTGTACGCTGCTTGATAATAAATGCCATTTCATGCAGATTCCAAGGATTTGCCTCGCCAACAAATACATTTTAGTTGTCTATTGATTTATTGTATTCACAAAAATAGGAGTGTAATTTTGCCGTTATGATTAGCAGTGACATTTTTTTTTTTAAATAATTTTACTAGTTATTTGTAACAAATATCTGGCTGTCTTATATCATATTGCTATCAGTGTCATGTTTAATATTTTGTCAGAATTTGGTATTTATGGTATATTTTAATATCCTCTATTAAATGTGGACTCTCGGACATAACATATTTATGCTACTCCCTGGTTGACCTGCAGATGTGTTTTGGTAATTTTTGTATTTTGTTTGCTGTCCAGTATCTGAGAAATTGACCTTTACCCAACATCTCTTTGTATTCATAAATTTACTACTTTTCTGCTAAGTCAGACTGCAATATCTTTCAGATTCTGTTCGGCTTAATTATATTAAAAAACATGTATTTATTGCGAAAGAAATGAAACCTTTCCTAAGAATCAATTGGGGTTTACCTGGCTATTCACATTTCGGCAAAAAAGAACTGTCCCATTGAGTACACACAATAACTATTGTTCTCCATGGAGTTAATTAAATCTTAAATTTAAATTTCTCCTTGAAAAATCAACAATTACTCATTGATAAATTTAGCTGTACGAAAAAAAAAATTTCCTAGTGATAAAATTACATGTACAATACTGAATACTGACACACTGCATGTGATCTTGTATTTATTCAAATGAATATCAACTAATTTATTTTTCTTCTGTGATGATAGTCTGTTTTGAGTGGGTGGCTAAATTGTATGAGGGAAATATTGACTGCATTGCTATTATACCAGCCTTGAATTTTATCACCATAAAACCAAAATAAACTGATATAATTTATTTGCAACATGCACCGTGTTAAACAAGGTTGTCTGCATCTTCTTTCTAATAATATTTTACAAGTTTTATTTTTCTGTACTGACCAAATAACTAGAGACTCTAAAGAGCCTGTGTCGCTCACCTTGGTCTATGTGCATAGTCAACATTGTGAACAAAACTCATGACAAAAATCTCTGTTTTGTTGATCTTGTATTGCTGATCATTTAGTGTGTTTAGTTTCTCTCTATCTTCTTAAGTTTTTGCTCAAAACACAAAAGAGGGTAAAAAGAATCCTCATTTAACGGCAATCACTCCTATAAAGTGTGACAGTCTACTAACTATATCGGCAAAATTTGACTTGTTAGAAGATCTTGCCTTGCTGATCATTTTTTTTTTATTTAAAGTGCCTATTTATCTATTATAATTTTTAGCATATAAGGCAAAACGCAAAAAAAAATGATAAAAATCGTCATTAAAGGACAATAACTCCAATAAGGAGTCATCAGACGATTTTCTCAATTTTTCTTAATTCTAGATCTCGACTTGCTGATGATTTTTGCTTATTTAAGTTTCTATCTATCTATTATAATTTTTAAGATATAAGACAAAAACGCAAAAAATTGATAAAAATCGTCACCAAAGGGCAATAATTCTAATAAGAAGTCGACTGCATGACGATTTCGACCATGTAGACTTAATTGTAGAACTTGTCTTGCTGATCATTTTTGCAATTAAAAGTTTCTCTTACTCTATTAGAGTTTTCAAGATAATATGCAAAAATGAAAAAAATGGTAAAATTTGTCATTTAAGGGCAATAACTCCTATAAAAAGTTGTCTGACAGTTTTGAGGTATATGGACAACTGGTAGAGCTCAACATTCTGAACATTTTTTTCCTTCAGATTTTCTCTATTTTTAATGGTTTTTGTCGAGCCTGCGACTTTTGTCACAGAAAGCTCGACATAGGGATAGTGATCCGGTGGCGGCGGCGGCGGCGTTAGCTAACTTCTTAAAAGCTTTATATTTTAGAAGGTAGAAGATCTGGATGCTTCATACTTTTTATATGGATGCCTCATTTTACGAAGTTTCCGTCAGTCACATGTCCAATGTCCTTGACCTCATTTTCATGGTTCAGTGACTACTTGAAAAAAAATTAAGATTTTTTGTAATGTTAAATTCTCTCTTATTATAAGTAATAGGATAACTATATTTAGTATGTGCGTACCTTGCAAGGTCCTCATGCCCGTCAGACAGTTTTCACTTGACCTCGACCTCATTTCATGGATCAGTGAACAAGGTTAAGTTTTGGTGGTCAAGTCCATATCTCAGATACAATAAGCAATAGGTCTAGTATATTCGGTGTATGGAAGGACTGTAAGGTGTACATGTCCAACTGGCAGTTGTCATCTGACCTTGACCTAATTTTCATGGTTCAGTGGTTATAGTTAAGTTTTTGTGTTTTGGTCGGTTTTTCTTATACTGTATGCAATAGGTCTACTATATTTGGTGTATGGAATGATTGTAAGGTGTACATGTCTAGCTGGCAGGTGTCATCTGACCTTGACCTCATTTTCATGGTTCAGTGGTCAAAGTTAAGTTTTTGTGTTTTGGTCTTTTTTTCTAATACTATATGCAATAGTTCAACTATATTTGGTGTATGGAAATATTTTATGATCTATATGTCAGTCACGCAGGTTTTATTTGACCTCGACCTCATTTTCAAGGTTCATTGCTCAGTGTTAAGTTTTTGTGTTTTGGTCTGTTTTTCTTAAACTATAAGCAATAGGTCAACTATATTTGTTGTATGGAAGAATTGTTAGCTGTACATGCCTGCCTAGCATGGTTCATCTGACCTTGACCTCATTTTCATGGTTCATTGGTCAATGTTTAGTTTACTTGGTTAATGTTAAGTTTATGTGACAGTTGTAATAAAGCTTTATATTTAGGACCATCAACAAAATATCAATGATTAGTAAAGAAGGCGAGACATTTCAGCGTGTGCACTTTTGTTAAAATAATAGACAAAACTTGCATTTTACCCCTATGCTCTAGTTTTAGCCATGTCGGCCATCTTGGTTCGCAGGAGGGGTCACCGGACATATTTTTTAAACTAGATAGCTCAATGATGATTGTGGCCAAGTTTGGTTAAATTTTGCACAGTAGTTTCAGAGATTTTTGTAAAAGTTAACTGACGACGACGGACGACGGACGCTTAGTGATGAGAAAAGCTCACTTGGCCCATTGTGCCAGGTGAGCTAAAAAAGAAAATTAGTTCTTCAGTAATCTATTATTGACATTTATCATCCTTTGCTCTGACAAGATGTGTTATTATTCAGTACTTATACATTTAGTTTTGTCACTAGAAGTTTACTTTTTTGTCATCCAAATTAATCAATGAATGATTGGTTTTTCAAGGAG